GTGTGTTTGAGATATGAAGTGCTGTAGAAGCAAGTTGTTCCATACCATTGAGTGTCTCTGATCGGCCCAAAAGATGAGTACATAGTATCAAGATGATCGACGATCTTGATATATACGATTACCAACTATGATTCGCATTCAAATATGCTTCATTTACAATTGAGGGGGCCCCTCCGACATTCGAGATATTCTCGACAGTCAGTGCCAGGTTCATTCGCGGCCACCTAGGGGCAAGACATCTCGCCCCTGGCTCAGTCCAGTTTCTGAACACAACGTAGGCAGGTATAGGCATAATGTATATAGGTGTAGCACGATATAGTCTTACATGTTCTATTAGCTTGGACACTTGCAAGTCTGTGGGTGTCAGGAGCTTGTCTGCACTTTACTTAACACGAACAGGGCAACCACAGTCTAACTTATCATCTATAAAAGCGACAACATATTTTGAATACAAGGCGACTCTGGCTCATACCCCTGCGTAGCAAATGTCTCTCCCTTTCTTTTCTATTATCAATACAGAAATCACTCGATCGCGGTCAACCCAGCTTCTAGACGACCTAATGACCAGTACTAGGTGCGGAAGATCGGGAAATAGGCAAGACGCGTACTTAAGTTTGAAGATATTTATTCGGACTTTGGTAGAAACCCCAAGGAGGGACATGTTTCAAGACTTAGCCTTTAGAACGAGCGAGCTCAAGAAATTTACAGAGGGTATAGGAGTACGTTATTCGTTCTGTATGCTTAGAATGCCCCGATCATTACCTGTATCCTATCTACTCGACCGTGTGATAGAAGAAATGAGGCATCAGACTGAAGGGTGTTTATGAGTAGACCAATTTATACTGCTTATTGTCGACTTTGTGACGATTATTGAAGGGCAATAATAAAAACCTCGGAGATACTACACTAAAGATTGTTAATCGTTATCGGTTTATACTGCCGAATTAAGTCATCTATAAAATGTTTGAGTGCCTCAAATTCAAGGTCACTTGTTTGTCCATACACTTAAATGACGAGGTTTGTCAGTCTTCGTGTTTCTAAGGGGCTCAAAGTTTAATCAAATTCGCAAGCTCTATATCGGCTCAAGACAATCCGAGACCAATCCATCGGTCGGTGGCTGCGGTAGCTCATATGTTATGATGCGGCGCGAGTTACTATTAGGGTTAGCCCTCTCGTTCTACCCCTACTTGTCTCTTTTGCATGTGAGCTTCTTCAAGATAAGCGGTCTAAACCCATATACACACATGGAGTATCGTTCTGGCACACAGTTCATGCACCCTACCTCACTATTGACGGGAAATGTGCCGACTCCCGCATCAACTAACCCAACTCTTCCCAGTTGCTAAGAATGAAGTCCCTGGAGGTCCACAGTAGGACCCTTGCCACATGCCGTGTTGCAGGAGTCCAGTAATAGCAAACTCCGCGTATAGGAATGTGACACGTCTGGACTCCTGGGTGGGACAAAAGAACCAACATACACCGTATAGTCACATCCAAGAGACCTCGACGCTAACTTATCCCCGAGCGTATACCATGCAGGAGACTCAAGACGGAGGGTGTGAGTGGTTCTAGTAACGTTCTAGTGACCTCTGACAACTCAATGGCCAAACATACAATGGAGGACATGAATGCTGCCCATACCTAACCAGACCAATGATACTGGACTAATGGGAATAGTCGGCCACAAAGGCGCAGTCCCACTGACTTGAGGATTCATCTGACTCTGCTTAGACTGGTATGCTCGGCCTTAAACGGGTTGAACTCAAAAGGAACGGCAGAGAACTTGCCGTTGCAGCCGAGTGCGGTTATTCCAGGCGGCGGTTGAGGAGGTGGAGTGTCACAACGTGGTTCCCGAGTTACGACTATTGGGCTATGGCATTGATTGTTAGGACTGAAATCCGAGGGTTTAGGAAGGTTTTAGAACTGTAGGTGTTGGTTGAAGGAAGTTTACACGGCTATTGGAATGGGACCAGAGCCACCGAGTAAGACGTTGGAATACACATCTGTAACTACATAGACAGCAAGCAAAGAAGAAGTTTGTAAATTAACCGGTCCAAAGATGTGAGCCATTTTACAGCTATCATAAAAGGCTGTCGCCAGATCTGGTGATGATGGTGAAATCGTCAACGGATTGAAACCAAGAGATGGTACCAGGAATCAAGCACACGAAACTGCAGGTGGCTCTGGATGTAGTGGAGATCTCTTGAGGTCTAAACCTTAGACCTAGGTAACTAACTGTAAACTTAAATGCACCCATCCGAATAAGCCCAGTAGCACAATGAGAGAGGTCTAGAAGCGCCAAGCAGGAATTGCCAAGCAGCCACCGAAGGGCCTGAAATGCATCTGTTTGGCTCTTGGGAGGATTCGTCTTTCCCCAGTGGAGAGATGAGACGCTGGTGGCTCTTGCATCATTTTGCTCCACTGGCGGAACGTGGCTACACTATTGGCCAGTAGTACCGGATCATCCTTGATCCGGAAGCACGAATGTTGCTGCGCCACCACACTTGATTGCAACTGGATCCAATCTGCGCAAGGTGGAAGGTGGGAGCCGGCAACTGGGAGCTGGGGTCGAGCAGAGCAGGGAGCCAGTGGTTAGGTGATGTGGGCAGTTCAGCCGTGAAGCGAAGGCGACAACTGCCACATGCGTTGCATCCCGTGGCTAGGGGCACACGTGTGTCCAGCCAAGAGCCACAGCCGATGTGAGCCCATCAGTCAGAACGCTGGTGAACCCATGTGTCAAAGAGACAGGCAGGTATCATTAACACAAATCGACGCATGCAGTCTACGTAAAATCATGTCTCGTTTCGTGTACTTGCAGGTGTCATATGGAGGGTTGGTTGTTGTCGCAGGCAAGTGCGAGCTATTGCTTTCTTCTCTTCTCTCACCTGTGAAGATAGGATAGGTGATGGCGATCGGTCATGCATGTTGTATCAGGAGCAGTCCTTCTTGTCATGCATCTATACGTACCAGTCAGCTCGGAACAAATTTGCCGGGCAACTACAAGATGGCGTAACACCTGTCCACTGAATATCCTCAGAACGCGCGCTACGTGCGTATGTCTACTCGCATGTGCGTAGGTCCCTACCTACTGGCTGGTGCATACGAGACGGGTGAAAGGCTCGCACTCATTGACGGAATATGTAACGGATTTACTTCTGAGCGGACTGCTTACTGCAGTAAGCTTTGTTGAGTCCCTGGTGCCTGACGAACCGAGACTCAAACTTCAAGGGGTTGCAGACCGTGGAGCCGCGGCCGCGGCCCCATCGGACAATGCGTCAGGCATCTGAGTGTCAAGATACAGCGAGCGCTGGACCTCGCAGACTTGGTGTAGAGGCTCTGTAAATGACAGTACCCATCTGGCTGCCTACCTACGTAATAACAGGCGTATTGTGCTGCAGTTCTTCGTCAACGGGATGAAGATTAGCGCTGCGACAACCGGTTTGAGGTCCAATTGCAGTTTCCTACGAGTGTGCCGTACAGCCGGGCCTTGAACTCTGGCAGCCCTTTTGCCCACCCACATGGCCACTCTGATAGCCTTTGACGTGCCGTTCGTTCCGTGGGCCAAGGCCCCTGTTAAACCACTGTCCTTTGCACCAGTCGGAGTGTATGTGCAGTCAGATTGGGCATGGAGCTCCATCGCAGTTGGTGGTGGTGCCGGAGACCGAGCGATGGACTGACCGATATCCACTGCCTGAGACAAGGCCCTTTGCTGCTTGCGCAGAGCTGCGTCTGCGGCCGGCTACCCGATCATCAGGGCGCGCATAGGCGATTATGTATGTTTGTGTATAGCAGCCTACAGCCTGCTGGCCGACTTTGCCGTGCCGAGCACTTGTTTCGGGGAGTGTGAGGGGAACTAGGTAATGGAGGCAGGAACCTGGGGTCTGGGAGGGGAGAGAGAGGCCTCGTGCAATGACAGTGGGACAGTCCAGCTGTCGTTTTCGGACTGTGCAGGAACCTGAATCTTGACAGTGCAGTTAGCGCGTGGGTACAGACTTGCCGGTACGTGGCCAAGCGTCACTGAAGTTGCCCGAGTGCGACTCGAGTCGATGCAGTATGAGATTGATAGGCTTGCTATGTCTTACCTGCCCAATAGAGCGACAACAGCCGTACTTCTCGGATAATTTGTTCCATTGGCCATCTTGATTACATTGCCCATTGACCGAGAGGCATAAGGATGGATCATCGTGCAATTCAGCTCATCGTCGACAGCTCTGTAGGTAGTCCCTGTGCCGACTTCCACTAGTCGAAGCCTTGGCCGGTACTTGCACAGTGCGCGGACTTTCATTTTCCTTGGTCCGCTTGGACCCGATCGTGGGTGAGTGCTGTGCGGGCATGCGTAGGTAGCAGCTTAGGGGCATTCGCCAGCGATGTAGCGACTGTCCTTCCACTGTAAATTTTGCAATCCAAGCACTAAATGGCTGGTTCCCCCCTCTTACCTGTTCTGGCCCACGCCCCCAAATGCCTTGATGATCTGACCCTTCCCCATCGCCTGGACGTCTCCCTTTGGCACTCTTCCTCTCCATCGCCGACCTCCCCCCAGCGACGCCGTCACTCCTCGCCGCCTCACCATTGTCCACGACTGCATCAAGCGCAGCATATTTCTCTCGTTGGCACATCCAGCGGGGGGCTTCGACGCTGGCTGCGATTGCGGAGCGCCCGTGCCCTCAGCGACGGCGACGGCGACGCAATTAAACCTCCAGTAGGAGGCGGATCTGAACTTCGAGATAGTTGACGCTGGGCTCTCCAGCACCCCTGAGCCCCTTCGATGGCGCACGACGAAAAGAAATCCACGGCGGCTGAGTCGACCGATGCCGCGACGACCAAGGCAGCCTCTCCAACTCTAGCGCCGCAACAAACGACGACTTCAGTGTCAAGCGACGACCACGACGATCAATCTGTGAGGATAACCCGCGCCACCGTATCTCGCAAGGTTCAATCTTTTGGACCCGTGGCATTTCCCATATAATTGTAATGTAGCTAATTTAGGGTTGTCGCAATTATTGCAGATGCACTCTTACGACGATGACGACTTTTACTCAGAACACGATGGCGACTACCCCCCGAGGGCCCGCCAAGACCTCCATGTCACCGAAGATGATATCCTCGAAGCCCAAGCGCTTTCAGAAAAGCTTTCGCTTGAGGAAGTGCGCGACATTATGACGCGTATCTATAAAACCCACGAACGAGACCCCAACTTCCCGATTGTGGTGTTGACCAAGATCAAGACATTCCTAGATAACGAGGAATTGTTCAAGGAGAACGACAACAATGAGAAACGGAACCCAGATAACGAACTGCTTATTCGTCAGATGAAACTCGAAGCTGCTCTTCTGACAACGAATAGTCCATACGCCGAAGTCCGCGCCGTTGTCGATAACAAGGATGATGTCAACGCGCCCTGTTCTACTATCCGTAGTTGGGCCATTGGTCTTATCTTCTCCTTGGTGCTGGCGTTCGTTAACCAGCTATTCGATATTCGCCAGCCTACGATTCGAGTGATGGCAAATGTTGCGCAACTTCTTGCCTATCCGCTGGGTAAAGCCTGTGAGAATTGGCTTCCTGACAAGGGCTTCACCCTCTTCGGCGTTCGACACACTCTCAACCCGGGACCATTCCATAAGAAGGAGCACATGCTGATTACGATCATGGCCAATGTTGCCTACAACACTCCGTATACGAACTACATCATTTGGGTGCAATATTTGCCCCAGTATTTCAACCAACCGTATGCGTCCCATCCTGGTTATCAGATCCTGATCGCGCTCAGCACCAACTTCATCGGATACGGTATGGCTGGTATCTGCCGACGTTTCATTGTCTACCCTTCGTATTGTGTGTGGCCAGCGTCCCTCGTCACGATTGCCTTGAACTCGGCCTTCCACAATTCAGACAACACCCCAGTACAAGGACCACTGGGAAGCATTTGGCGCATCTCGCGTATCAAGTTCTTCTACCTCATGTTTGCCGCCATGTTTGTCTGGTTCTGGTTCCCAGGCTATATCTGGACTGGTCTGTCCAAGTTCAGCTGGATGAGCTGGATTGCCCCAGATAATGTCAATCTGAACGCAATTGTTGGTTTCAACAATGGTTTGGGTATCAACCCCTTTCCCACATTGGATTGGAACACATTGCTTTGGGATTCTTCCGACCCTCTCATGGTCCCATTCTTCAGCACCATCAATCGTTTCCTCGGTGCCTTCATCTCGATGTGGGTTGTTGTGGGTATTTGGTATGGCAACGTGTTTAACACGGGCTACCTTCCAATTAACTCAAACCGTGTATACGACCACTTTGGCAATCTCTACAACGTCACATTGGCTACCAATGCAAAAGGTCTTTTTGACGGCCAAAAGTACGATGCTTACTCGCCTCCATTCCTCAGTGCCGGCAATGTCACTGTCTATCTTTTCTTCTTCAGTGTATACACCTCTACCCTGACTTATGCCGTCTTGTACCACCGACATGAACTGGTCACTGGTTTCAAGGGCCTTTTCAGTGGTTTCCGACGCAACAAGAAAACAAGCCATGACGACCAGATCCTCGACGTTCACCATCGCCTGATGAAATCATACAAGGAGGTTCCTGAGTGGTGGTACATGGCCTGCCTAGTAATCGCCATTGCCTTTGGTGTTGCCGGCATTGCGACCTGGGAGACGAACACCACTCCCGGTGTTGTCTTTTACGGTCTGGCACTGTGTCTTATCTTCGTCATCCCCGTTGGCATTATCAAGGCCATGACTGGTATCGAAGTCACGCTTAACGTTCTCGCTGAGTTTATTGGAGGTTCCTTCGTTGAGGGAAATGCCCTAGCCATGAACTTCTTCAAATCTTTTGGCTATGTGACATGTGCTCACGCAGTTTGGTTCTCCAATGATATGAAGCTTGCGCACTACGTCAAGATTCCCCCTCGCCAGACCTTCTTCGCCCAGATGGTGGCTACCTTTGTTGGAACTCTTGTTTGCGTCGGTGTTCTCAACTTCCAGATGAGGCACATTGATGGTGTCTGCACACCGGACGCTCAATTCCGACTCACCTGCCCTGGAGTGAACACATTCTTCACCGCATCCGTTCTCTGGGGTACTGTTGGGCCAACCAAGATTTGGGGCCGTAACGGACAGTACACCGAGACTCTGATCGGGTTCCCCCTCGGTGTTGTCGTTGTTGTCTTCTTCTGGTTGCTTTCTAAGAAGTTTCCCAAGTCACCTTGGTTGAGGCAGATTCACCCCGTGGCTATGATGTATGGTGGAATTGTCTGGGCACCTTATAACATGTCATACATCTGGCCCTCGGTTCCTATTGCCTTTTTCTCGTGGATCTACCTCAAGTCACGCTTTCTTGGTTTGTGGTCCAAGGTACGTTTTATGATTCTATATGTCTTGCATCTTGTGGTATTTGTAACTCACCTTTCTACTCTAGTACAACTTCGTGCTCTCGGCTGCATGGTCTTGCGGCATTGCCATCTCCGGTATTCTCATCTTCTTCACCTTGCAATGGACTAGCACTGAGTTCGAATGGTGGGGCAACAACGTGCCGTATGACGGCTGCGAAGGCACAGCTTGCCCTCTCAAGACGTTGCCAAATGATGAATACTTTGGCCCCCGGATAGGACAGTTCCACGGGTGATTAACACCTCTCGCCCCTTTAACGTTCTACAAATTTTCACTTTTTCATCATCCTCCATCATCATACGTGCTATATTTTTCCGGAGTTGAGCTATACTGATCATACTGGGGTCATGTGTTACTGTGTTTATCCAAATCGGCGAAGGGATGGAACGGGGTGTTTTCTTACATTGCTCCGCAATTTGCACTGGGTTTATCGGGTCTCTCTGGTTGAGAATCAATGGGTTTGCTTGCTTGTTTCGTCGCATGATCTTTCTGTTCGACCATCCTCCACATCCCCCTATTCTACTTTTATTGTTTATTCATGCTCTGCTCTTGACAGCATCGGGCACTCTATTGGGACAAGGGTATACCCGGAATTACGTGTCTCACCAAGTTCCACTTTTTTTAACCTTGAATCTTCCCAAAGCGGGCCTTACATAGATGGATAAGAATTGGATCATCATTGGTCAAACTACGTGTATTGCCTTTGCCTTGATGTCGATTGAACAAGATGTGCTGTTCTTTTATAGAGATGCTGGTTTGATTTTGGTGGTGGATTTTAAAAAGCGTTTCACGAGAGAGCAAAGGGTCAGCAATATGAGTTTTGAAAACAAACAAAATAAAATGCAATCATTCATCCCTGAACGCCTGCTGCGTTTGTATCTATCTAGCCCATGTGGTTGAAAATGAGAAAAATACATGATATGCTCGACAAAGTACAACTAGACAGAAAAAAAGTAAACCGAAAGAAGAGAACCATAAGTTTATCACTATCCCCAAGCAAATCATCCAAAAGTAAAAGAAAAATAAACCACCCCCTGAAAAAAAATGAAGAATAGAACAAAATAGAAGAAAGAAGAGAATATGAAATTATGATGCTGTATGGCAATGAAAGAGACTTCGGGGTATATAATTGTCCATTCAGTTTTCATCATGCTTGAATCATTTTTTGCATAATATCGTGATGCGATTTTAGTTGGCCAGCCAGGCCGGCCCGAGAGGCGACACGGGACTCGTAGGGTCGGTGTTATCCGAGTCCATGCTTCTCCTCTTGGGCGGCATGGCACTCATCGGGCTCACCGCCATCTCCTGCGGGAATTCGCGAGCAAAGGCAGGCGACGGAACTGCTGGGGAGAACGGCACGTGGTGCCCGGCCGGCGGTGGTTGGAGATCATGGGCCACGGGAGCGAACGAAGGTGTTGAGATGGCACCGCTGCCGCCCCTGGCGATTTCAGCTGCTCGAGGAGGCAGCTCGATCGCCACAGGGTCGCTGATGACTAGTGAGCTCTTGTGAGACTCGATGCTGCCCCCGGAGGTCTTATGTTTGTGTTGGCGAAGGCCGCGAAGCTTGCCGCCTAGAGTCTTGCGGATTGACTTGGTATTTTCCGCATCTCTAATTGTTGGTTTTCCTGGACCGTATGGAGCAGGAGATGGGGGCACGGAGCCATGGCCAGGGAGAGGCCCAGGTGTAGGAGGGGGAGCAGCAGAAACAGAAGCATGGCTCGAAGGACCAGAGCTCATCGAACCGGTGCTCCTATGGCGGATAGATAGCGCTGATGCCGAGATACTACCCCAGCTCAGATGACCCTTGCGCTTGACGATTCCAGAGACAATGCCGTCGTCGGCAAGTTTCTTTACAATGAAGTCGTACTGCATTGACATGGTTGGGTTTTCAGTGATGTCACATGCGAACAGGTATACTCTGTGCAAGCCCTTGATGGGTTGTTTCGAGAACTCGTCGTTAAGACGCTCAGCCATAGCCTGGGCAGGGAGTACTGATCCCCACAGGTCAAAGAAGTTTGCTCGGTGTACATGATCGCTAGGAACACCGAGAGCCTGGGGGTTCAACACCTCAGTCCACACGGAGAAGATAAGAGACTGCAGAATCTTGCGGTCATCATTTGGCAATGACTGATATGACTTCTCAGGTCTGGGGAGGGGCCATGGTGTGCTCATTGGGATCTTCGCTTGAGAGTGCAGCAGGTCAAATGAGGACTGGATCATCGGTGTCTCAATGGTATCATAGTTTGTGACCGATTCAACAGCATACAAGAGAACCCGCAGGACATCTTCCGCAACGTCGGTGGGAATTCGGCTCTCGGAGTACTTGATTTCCAGGGTGACAGTTTGAGGCCCGTCCATAGTCGAGACTACAAGGATATCAGGGATATCCTGCATGCCCGCTCTGGCAATGGTGTGAGTGAAGGTCGTATCGCCCATGTTTAGCGTAGTTGAACCATCCACTGGCGCCTGGGGGCGATGATGCACGACCGTGCTGAAATTGGTCCAGTAAGGCCAATCGGTACAGCGCTGGACAAGCTCCAAGATTCCAAGGCCTTCGTGGGGTCGACTCGTGACTCTTTGCTCCTGAATGGGGCGGAGGAATTCAAGGGGTGTCAATTGATCCACGGAGAACTGGATGCGGACTGGAATAATGTTTGTAGTCGGCGCGATCAAAGAAGCCATATCAAAGCGATCTGGCAGTGGGATGTTGGCACCCTGGGTGACCTCACCGAAGACAACATCGCTGGTCGCAGAGAACTGAGCCAGCGTGATGGCCCATGCAGCCTTCAGGATGGTATTGAAATTGAGACCGAACTCGGAAACAGGGTCGACTTGGATTGTTTGGGAGACGGACATGATGTCGCCGGCGGGTGGGTAAGGCTTTTCGTGAGCAACAAAGTGCGTCATCTGGGCACTCTCCAGCTTGTTCTTCCAAAACTCAACACTAGCCTCGCTGTTAACGGCCTGGGCAGCTCTCATGTAGTCGAAGAAGTTGGACTTGTCCGAGAGAGTGGCCGAGCCCTCGTACAAAGCAGCTAGATCTTGTACCAAGATCGACATTGCCTGTTCGTCGATCTGCGAGCTACTTAGGCGAACGATGAGGGTGCTCTGTGCTCCAGCATCGAGGAAAGTAAACTTGGTGACAGGCTCTTCGGGTCTGAACGTTGAATCTTGGTCTTCGGCAACAACGTTGGCTGTGACACTCTCAAGACACCATGCTGGGCAAGGATAACGCTGGAATTCGGGCCTAAAGTTACCAAGGTGGACCTGGTAGACAACACGATTGTGGACGGCAAACGCAGTGCGGAAAGCTGGGTGAAGCTGGGTCAGCGTCTCACATGCGGTCTGGAGCTTCTGGACACGGATTGGGCCATTGAAGTTGAAGATCAGGCACTGCATGCCACCCTTCTTGCTGTACATTCGGGTTTCCAGTGCTCGCACTTGATGTGCCGACGCCTCGGTGATGTCCAAGATGTCGTGACGGCGAACTCTCATTTTCGGGGCGATGTTTTCTTTGATGAACTTCTCATCAAATCCTGGAATGTTGAAGCCTTCAGTCATCGTGGCTGGTCGGATTTCGGAATGAACACGCTCGTTGAAGGTGATCTCCGACGTCGCGATCGCCTGGCAGACCTCAGTCAAAGTATTACCTCTAAGTATATCGAGGAGGTAAACTGTAAGGTGTGACTTTCTGCACTGGATAACCAGCTTTCCGGCCAGGAATCTGTCGCCGCCAAGTCCAATAAAGCTGTCATTGCTCTTGATCTTGGAAGGCTGGATATCCAGCACGTTGGCCCAAACATGGCGCATCCTCTCCTCAACGTGTGTCAGAGGTAGTGGCTTGTCCTCCTCTTCTGAGTCAGGGTTCGTGGAAACCCCAATCAACTCAGTGTAGGTCATGCCCGCGACCTTCTTAGCCAACTTGCGTCGATTCACCTTCATCGAGGTTGACATGGGGAACTGCTTCAGGGGAATGAATGTTGACGGGATTTGGTCAGCAGTGATAGCTCTTATCTTGCCACTGCCCTTTGCCGAGCTTTCGTGAAGGGCTCTGAGCAGTTGTGTCCTCTCGCGTGTCTTCGTGCGCAGCTTCTCCAGTTCTTTGGCATTGTGCTCGAGGTCATATCCGACTTCCAGGAATGCAGCCAGAATTTGGACCGCGTCACGAGTAATCACAGACTCGACTACAACGTCAACTTTTCCACCGAGGCAACGGCGAAGGTGATACTCAATCTCGCCGACGGGAAGCTGCGAGCCATCCAGTGTTTGCTCCTCGTACATCGAGGATATGAACTGAATACTGCCATCATCAAGATAACGAACAAGGTGGCCAGTCTTGAGATAGCGATTGCGGCTCGGATTCTCTGTGGCCAGCGACACTGGAGCAACAACAGTCTTGTCAGGAATATATGTATGTGGTGTCAGGAGGGGGCAGTCTATGGCCAGTTCGCCAACAGCACCTATCGGCATCATCTTCTTGGAGTCTTCTGGGTTCAGAATCCAAAACTTTCCGATGAGAGGTGGGGGAATAACGGAGCTGTCAGTGGAACCAGTAACTTCAGCAATGGAAATGCCGAGAGGGCAGATTTCGGTTGCACCATATGCTAGCATGATGTTTCGACTTGGTCCCCAGAAGTTGTACATGTCATCGTCAAGTTTCCTGGTTCGGAAGCAGAGAGTCTTCAGGCGAGGAAGATAAGCGGGATCGAGGCGGCGAGCAAGAGTAGCCGTCATGTATGACCAGGTGATATTCATTCGAGCCATCACACCGCCAAGGTCCTCGAGACGATCCTTCCCAGATGGGATACAAACACAGCCTCCATGAACCATAGTACCCAGGATTTCTACGAGCGCAATGTCCTGGCTAAAAGAAGAGAGCTGCAAGACACGGCTGTCCTTGCTCATTCTAAGTGCCGGACCCTGTGCCATGAAAGTCGAGGCGAGAGAACCGTGTGTGAAGAACAGGCTTCTCACAGCTGAGACTCTCGCCTTTCCGGGGGTAAATATGATGACAGCGCCATGGTCGGCGGTGGGCTCCTGGAGGGCGGGAATTGAGACCTGAGGGGGGAGAATGGAGAAGAATCGTTCATTAACGATGACAAGATTTGGCACGATGCACACCAGATCATTCAAAGCTGAGTCGGTGGCAAGAACAATCTTAGGCTGAAGATGCTTGATTGTAAACTCTGCTGCTGCCTTGTCCTGAGCGTCGAGAGCGATGATGCTGCCGCCAGC